GGCGGGAGCCGGGCGGCCGCGCTCTGCTCCGTGCGGAAGCTGTACTCGTACTGCAGGGGGAAAGGAGCACAGAGCATGAGCACGCTGGGGACCGGTGCTCCACGCACAGGCCCAGAGTGGGCGCCACCTCAGCCGTGCCCCACGCTGTGAGGCTCAAGCGGACCACGTGCCGGGCTGCTTGCCCTCCGGCCTCCCACAGCCCGGCAAACGGCCCCTGTCACCCTATATGACAGGAGTCGCACCCTGGTACGGGGCAGAGTTGGGTGGGACTCCACCCCGAGCCTGACCTGAGGCCGGCCACTCCCTGACTTGCCACTTCACTCAAGTGCCTCCTGAGCACTGCTGATAGCAGACACTCTGGGTGACACGGGACACACCCTGCCCATGCTGTCCTAACTGATGAGGAGCCGCGGCATCTCAGGGCAGCATCCGGAGGCCACCTGGCCCGGCCGCAGCACACCTGTGCTCAGCCCAGCCTGCTGCCTGCCCCGCACTGGAGCTCAACCTTCGAACCGACCCAGGGTCACAGAAATGAGTCTGATGGAAGTTCAGAGAAGGGGCAGTGCCTCTGTGGGAGGGAGAGGGCGCCTGAAATCCACCTGAAGGTTGGATGGGGTCTCAACATCCGCAGGTCGGGCAGAGTGGGTGTAGGTGGGGCGCAGGCGGGGCGCAGGAGAGGCATGTCCGCCTGGCAGGGACAGGCCTGCAGGCTGCCAGCTGGGCTCAGTGGGTGCTGCAGGCCTGAGGCTGCAGGGGCCAGGGGTAGGGCTATGGGGAATAGCCTGGGACTCTACGTCGAGGCAGCCATGTGGTCCCATGGGGTTTAGGAACGGAGAGCTTAGATTAGGTCAGTGGTCGTCACCAATTTAAAGTAACATTTAAAACGTTTTTAGCAGAATTGTCATAAAAGGGATTCCCTACATCAGACAGCAAAGTGGAGCTGCCTCATTGGTCTCGGCCACCACCCAAAGCCATCAACTCGGGGGACGTGGCGGGGGGCTGTTGGGAAAGTGGGGTGGAATCATCCCAGCAAGAGGGTGACTGCTGGGCACCTCCACAGGGAAGGCTGAAGATCCCACCCGTGGGTTCCACCACATGCCCCTGCTCACCCCCTCCCGCCAGGCCTCCCTAGCGCCAGCACCCCCAAAGTGGGCTATCTGTGGCAAGGAGTCACTTCTGGGGCCACACTGCTGGGTTTCAGGCGTAACTGTGTCCTGAGCTCCCCACATCTGCCGGTCCCACAGGACTGACC